CCCTGTAGAGGTGGTTTGTGGGAGGCAGACTCCCTCAGCTTTTGCTTATCTGGAAATTGTTTAATCCCTCCTTCATGTTTAAATGATAATCATGCTGGATACAGTATCCTTGGTTCAAGGCCCTTCTGCTTCATTGCATTAAATATATCATGCCATTCTCTTCCGGCCTGTAAGGTTTCTGTTGAGAAGTCTGATGATAGCCTGGTGGGTTTTCCTTTATAGGTGAACTTTTTCTCTCTAGCTGCCTTTAAAACTCTTTCCTTGTCCTTGATCCTTGCCATTTTAATTATTATGTGTCTTGGTGTTGTCCTCCTTGGGTCCTTTCTGTTGGGAGTTCTGTGTATTTCTGTGGTCTGTTCGATTATTTCCTCCCCCAGTTTGGGGAAGTTTTCTGCAATTATTTCTTCAAAGACAGTTTCTATCCCTTTTTTTCTCTCTCTCTCTTCTTCTTCTGGTACCCCTATAATGTGGATATTGTTCCTTTTGGATTGGTCACACAGTTCTCTTAATATTGTTTCATTCCTGGAGATCCTTTTATCTCTCTCTGTGTCAGTTTCTATGCATTCCTGTTGTCTGGTTTCTATTCCATCAATGGCCTCTTGCATCGTATCCATTCTGCTTATAAATCCTTCCAGAGATTGTTTCACTTCTGTAATCTCCTTCCGTACATCTGTAATCTCCCTCCAGACTTCATCCCTTAGCCCTTGTATATTTCTCTGCATCTCCGTCAGCATGTTTATGATTTTTATTTTGAATTCTTTTTCAGGAAGATTGGTTAGGTCTGTCTCCTTCTCAGGTGTTGTCTCTGTTATCTTGGCCTGCCTGAAATTTTGCCTTTTCATGGAAATAGAGATAGTTTGCTGAGCTGGCATGAGTGATGGCTGGAAGAACTTCCCTTCTTATTGGTTTGTGGCCTTCCTCTCCTGGGAGAATCGTGACCTCTAGTGGCTTGTGCTGGGCAGCTGCGCACAGACAGGGCTTCTGATTCTTGCCCGGCCACTATGGAGTTTATCTCCACTGTTGCTGTGGGTGTGACCTGCCTCAGGCTGTTGCTCTGATATGGTGAAGCCACTTTGGAGGGGGAATGGCTGGGAGGCTATTTATCTCTGTGAGGGGCCTCCATGCTCCCTGCTGCTCAGGGGGTTAGAGTGCCCAGAGTTCCCCAGATTCCCTGCTCCTGGACTAAGTATCCCAGGACGCTCTGTCCAGCAGTGAGGTCCCTGTCCCTTTAAGACTTCCAAAAAGCTCTTGCTTTTCTTTGTCCCTAGGGCACCATCTGTGGGGACCCACTCACAGGTCTTACTGTCCTGTTTCCCTAGTATCCAGCACCCCATGCATGCATTGTGTCTGCCCTCTGGTGCAGATGGCTAGGACTGGCTGTTTAGCAGTCCTGGGCTCCCTCTCCCTCCCCGCTCTGACTCCTCTCCTCCTGCCCAGAGCTGGGGTGAGGGGCGCTCGGGTCCCACCAGGCCGGGGTTCATATCTTACCCCCTTCATGAGGTGCTGGGATCTTGTAGGTGTGGATGTGGTATGGATGTTGTCCTGTGTCTTCTCGTCTCTCTTTTAGGAAGAGTTGTCTTTGCTGTATTTTCAAAAATATATGTGGTTTTGGGAGGAGATTTCCACTGCTCTACTCACGCTGCCATCTTGGCTCCGCCTCTCTTGTATGTATGTATTTTTTGACATAGATGTGGCCACTTCAGTAGCCTGAATTTCAGAAAGTGGGTTTAATGTATGCATTTACACTTTTTTGATAGGTACTGTCAAATTTCCAGCCAAAGGGGTTGTAGCAACTCGCCCTCCCTTACACAGGAAACACAAGGGTCTGTGTGTTCTCTTGCTGGCCCATCTTGGATTGAATCAGAACAGAGACCTGTGACATGCTAAGAGTGTTCTGGTCAGTTGTACCTTCAGGGGAAATTCTAATGCCTACCAAGCCCTGGCAGGAGAAGCTTTCTTCCAAACCGTACAAGAGCTAACTCCTCTGGTGGCCCAAAATCAATACGAGAGCAGTCTTCTGGGTGCTTAACAATTGAAAATAAAAAAAGCACAACTTTAAATACAGTCATAGTTTTATAGAATGAAATTTGGGTTAAATATTTATGCAGCTCCCGAAGCAGCATCTTATGGTGTGTAAAGTCCCAGCCTGGAGGGTTCAGCTTAAGGCCAAGCAAGGGTAGGTGGTGGAGGCTCTGGCTTCTGCCTGAAGCTCAGCCTTACTTTCTGCTTCCTAACCCCCCACCCTCCACCTGCCCCCTATGTTGTGCAGCTTCCTTCCTGAGGTTTTGCTGGGCTCTGCCCTCTGCCTGGAATGTCTGCCAGCTTTGCCCCTACAGGACTGCTGAGGCCTTCTTGGGGGCTCTCCCCCACCACCCCAGGCAGAGGTTATTCCCGTGTTATCTGTTGTACATCTGAACTTGAGTTCCTGTTGCTGGTAGTATGCAAATCATATCATGCTGTGATTTTTTTTTTTGACCTGCTTCTTCACTGCTGGGACTGGGGTGAGGCAGGTGAAGCTGCTAAGGTGAAAAACACTAAGGAGGTGCTCCCTCTCATTCATGTGCTAAAGCTTCACGCCCTGCTGTCTAGTCCAGGTCCTGCCGCTCAGTGGTGGGGTAGGGGTGGCCTCCCGCGGCATCGGGCTCTTCCTTGGTTCTAGGGAAGTGTGGAGACAGGTCCACTTTCTCACATGAGGTGAAAACAAGACTCCTTAATTAAATCTGTATCTTCTAGGTCATAAAGGAAAATATACAAGCTTGACTGAAAAATATAGGAAACACTCTGAAAGGGACAGACCCTCTACAAAGATGTGCCGTTACTACCACATTGAGTATTTCCTTCTGCCGGATGACAGAGAGCCTGAAATAGTTGACATGGTGGTGTTTCCAGCAGTGGCCAAAGTGTTCCTGGATTCAGGAGTAAAGGTGCACGTGCATGCGTGTGCTGCCTTGCATACAGCATATAGTCCAATACTATGCAAAGTGGGCCTGCTTGCCCGGGAGCTGGTGGGAATGTTGGGCTCCATCCCCAGACCTACTGAATGTGACTATTTAGATATTGTTATCTCATTGTTTCTTTGGAGTTTCAAAAGTTTTTGCCACTCTTGCAATTTCTTCCCTTGTGTAAGGACACGGGCGTGCACACCACCTGCTCGCACACACGCACACTCCTGCCTGTGGCCTGGCTGTGTGCTTGGAAGTCACTGGAAAGGATAGGAGGTGTAGGCAATTGCTTTGGTGTCACTGTTCCCGAGGAGCCCAGAGGTGGGATGGGGCCCAGTGACTGACGGTATGGCTGTGGTTTCCTGCTGGGAGCCGGGAGCCGGGAGAGAGCCGGGCATAGAGCGGGCGGGTGGAGGGCAGGTGCTCGGGGCTGTGACCAGGCCAGCAGTGGGTCCGTCTCAGCCCGCCCAGCTGCCTGGCTGTCTGCACTGACAGCCCCTTTGTATCCTTTTGCACAGACTGTGAGGCCGTGGCGTGAAGGGGACAAAGCCTGGGTGTCGTGGACCCAGACTTTAAATGTCAATATGACGAAGGAATTACTAAAGAAAATAAACTTTCACAAAATAACCCTGAAGCTCTGGGACACTCAGGACAAGGTTTCGAGAAAAGTCAGGTGTTTTCGGTTAAAGAAGACTGGGTATTCAGATGATGCGGTATCTTACGGTAAGTCAGGTATTTGTTTTATTTGAAATGTTTTTAAGGGGCTTGTGGCTTCTCGTCAGTAACAGGATAAAAGCTAGTATCCCCTCATTTCCTTCATCTCAACTTCCCAGGGCGCATGTCGGCTTGGGGTCAGTGGTCTGCCAGCCCCCAGGTCCCGAACTGTAGGAACTGCCGCCAGATGGCACGTGTGTGCGTCGCATCAGCTGCCACCTCCACTGCCTGTCTGGACCTCCTGTCCCCAGGCTGAACCCACGTGGATGCCCACCACTGCCCTGTCTCCCTGGATGAGTACTGTGTGTTCACTCTGGGAAAAAAATATTAGCAGACACCAAGAAACAAAGGAGAAACTTACACTACCCCAAGACTTCCATGTTAATGTCCTCACAGAAGACCCTCTAGCTTCTTTCTCGGGTGAACACTTCATCAAGGCCAGAAAGTCTGCTTTTGAACTCCCTCCAAGGAGAGCGCTAGGCGGAGTGAAAAGACCTAGGCTTTGAAGTCAGGTGGCTGAATTCAGTCCTGTCTCCATCTTGACCTAGATGGTGACCTTGGGCAGGTCCCACTTCCTCTGCCCCCAGCAGGTGCGTGGGAGGAGGGCCCAGAGGATATTAGAAGATTAATGAAATGCCACTTAAACAAGGGCACAGTGCTGATTGTAAGGTGGGTCCCAGGTTTTAGAGACGTTAGAAAGTAAGACTGATGTGCGTTGGGAGAATGTTACTGCTTCCTTAGCGGCCTCCAGGCAGGTAGTCAGCCCCATTCACAGCAAAGCGAGGCTGTCCCTTGCTTGAAGCGAGTGGCAGTGACAGAATCAAAGCCCAGCTCTGTGGCTGGGAAACCTCTGCTTGCTTCAGCTTTGCAGCCTGCCCACTCAAGTACCCTTTCCATTGCTGGGGACTTGGCACTTCCAATTTTTAAATCTTTCATTTATACCCATGGTTTCTCACCATGGCACCATGACCTTTGGAGCCATATTCCTTGCTGTGAAGGACCATCCTGGGCACTGTGGGCCATTTAGCAGCATACCTGGCCTCCACCCAATAGATGCCAGTCATAGCCTCCCATTTGTGACAACCAGAAATTTCTTCAACCATTTGCCAAATGGCCCCTGGAAGCCGGGTGTGAGGGTGAGGGGCGCAAAATTGCCCTTGGCCAAGAATCACTGGTTTATATCTAAGCTACTGACTGTAGAATTCGTGTGCGAGGAAATTGGATTCAAGGTGATTTTTCTCATCTGGACCAAAGGAGAGACCCATGTTCTCAAAATGTGAGCTCTAAGCCATCTGCATTAGATGCATGGGAGTGCTGCCTAAATGCAGATTGCAGGGCATGGTCCAGAGCTGCTGAGCCAGAATTCCTGGTAGACACCTGCCCCGCAGCAGGCTCACATGGGAGCAGGGGAGTGGGGCAGGTGTATCAGGAAGGCTTCCTGGAGAAGGGGTCAGGGGAGCCTGGAAGGGTAAACAATCAGCTGCCAGAAAAGAAAGGCAGGAGGCTGTTCTGGGCCCTGAAGGGAGGGCCCAAGGGCCTTTTGCTGTGAGTGTTCTTGGACTGGCAGCCCATGCTCTTCCTTACCCCCATCCTAAGCCTGGCGTCACTGCCTCCCAGGTTAAATCATTTTCTTCCATTAAAAAAAGCAGTGCACGTTCACTTTGTAAAAAATTAAAGTCACGTGATGCCTGCCCAGAGAGAGGCACCCATGATAGTTAACCATTGTCAACATTGTCCTGTACCTTTAATATGTGGGTACAAAACAATGGGTGTAGTGTACATGTTGTCTTAAATCTGCCTTTTTCACTTGAAAATATGTCTTCTTGAAACTTGTTTCTTGCGAATGCAGAAACATTGTTTGCTTCCTGTTACAAAGGAGATAGGGCATCTAGCAGGGGGAATGGTAGGTCATGTGCTGAACTTAGCTTTCAGCGGAGCTGGAGTAGAACTGCCGTCAGCAGCTCGCATTTCTCATGTATTAAATCTGCTCATTACTGGACAATGACTGCAGCATTCTTGAAGCCCTCAAGTCATATTTGCTTCCTGCTCTGCTCTTAATGCTTGGCTGTCCCCTGACCCACCACTTAGTGGGTTTCCTTGCCTGTGTGGTTCTTTGGCACTCTCCCCAGAGCTCTGTCAGCTGGTTGCTTTCTTTGCACCCAGCATCTCTCCTGTCTCCTCTCTCCCAACGTTGTTCATTGACCTTTCTATATCATCCCTTTGACCTTGGGACTTCATTGTTTTGCAACGTTTTCATGGCTGCCACAGTGCCCTCCAGGTCCATCTATGTTGTCACAAGTTGTAAGACTTCATTCTTTTTATTTATTTATTTGTTTTTATTAAGGTATTATTGATATACACTCTTATGAAGGTTTCACATGAAAAAACAATGTGGTTACTACATTTACCCATATTATCAAGTCCCCCCCATGTCCCATTGCAGTCACTGTCCATCAGTGCAGCAAGATGCCACAGATCCACTATGTGCCTTCTCTGTGCTACACTGTTTTCTCCGTGACCCCCCAGACATGTGTACTAAACATAATACCCCTCAATCCCCTTCTCCCTCCCTCCCCACCTGCCCTCCCGCACCCCTCCCCTTTGGTAACTACTAATTCCTTCTTGGAGTCTGTGAGTCTGTTGTTGTTTTGTTCCTTTAGTTTTGCTTTGTTGTTATACTCCACAAATGAGGGACATCATTTGGCACTTGTCTTTCTCTGCCTGGCTTATTTCACTGAGCATAATGTCCTCCAGCTCCATCCATGTTGTTGCAAATGGTAGAATTTGTGTCTTTCTTATGGCAGAATCGTATTCCACTGTGTATATGTACCACTTCTTCCTTATCCATTCATCTACTGATGGACACTTAGGTTGCTTCTATATCTTGGCTATTGTAAAAAGTGCTGTGATAAACATACGGGTGCATATGGCTTTTTGAATCTGAGAAGTTGTATTCTTTAGGTAAATTCCAACGAGTGGGATTCCCGGGTCAAATGGTATTTCTATTTTGAGTTTTTTGAGGAACCTCCATATTGCTTTCCACAATGGTTGAACTAGCTTACATTCCCACCAGCAGTGTTGGAGGGTTCCCCTTTCTCCGCATCCTTGCCAGCATTTGTTGTTCTTAGTCTTTTTGATGCTGGCCATCCTTACTGGTGTGAGGTGATATCTCACTGTGGTTTAATTTGCATTTCCCTCATGATTAGTGATGTGGAGCGTCTTTTCATGTGTCTGTTGGTCATTGAATTTCTTCTTTGGAGAACTGTCTCTTCATATCCTCTGCCCATTTGTTAATCGGGTTATTTGCTTTTTGGGTGTTGAGGCGTGTGAGTTCTTTATATATTTTGGATGTTAACCCCTTGTCAGATATGTCATTTACAAATATATTCTCCCATACTGTAGGATGCCTTTTGTTCTGTTGATGGTGTCCTTTGCTATACAGAAACTTTTTAGTTTGATGTAGTCCCATGAGTTCATTTTTGCTTTTGTTTCCCTTGCTCGAGGAGATGCGTTCAGGAAGAAGTTGTTCATGTTTATATTCAGGAGATTTTTGCCTATGTTGTCTTCTAAGAGTTTTATGGTTTCATGACTTACATTCAGGTCTTTGATCCATTTCGAGTTTACTTTAGTGTATGAGGTTAAACAACAATCCAGTTTCATTCTCTTACATGTAGCTGTCCAGTTTTGCCAACACCAGTTGTTGAAAAGGCTGTCATTCCCCCATTGTATGTCCATGGCTCCTTTATCATATATTAATTGACCATATATGGTTGGGTTTATATCAGGCCTCTGTAGTCTATTCCATTGGTCTATGGGTCTGTTCCTGTGCCAGTACCAAATTGTCTTGATTACTGTGGCTTTTAGGTAGAGCTTGAACTTGGGGAGCATAATCCCCCCGCTTTATTCTTCCTTCTCAGGATTGCTGGGCTATTTGGGGTCTTTTGTGGTTCCATATGAATTTTAGAACAATTTTCTCTAGTTCGTTGAAGAATGCTGTTGGTATTTTGATAGGAATTGCATTGAATCTGTAGATTGCTTTAGGCAAGACTTCATTCTTTTTATGGCTGAGTAATATTCCATGAGTGTGTTTACTGCATCTTAGGGAACCAAGTTGATCTTCTGAGCCTGGCTTTGAAGGCACCTGAATGCTTGTTCCCTGTGACTCTGTGACTGCTCCTCTCCCTTCAATCCTGGTCCCTGAAGATGCAGGTTTTCCTGCATGTGGGGCTTGCATTCAGACATTTGGCTACACCTCAGAGGCCCTTAGCCTCAGCTTTCTCCAAAATTTTTATCCATTCTTTACAATGAATTTAATTCCACCTCTTCCTTTCACCACCTCTTTCTTGTAGCTTCATCTACTCCCTTCCTCTGCTCATATATGACTTCACACATCAGTTTCTGCCATGTGTTTGCAAAGCCCCATATTGATAGAGTGAAAGATAAGAAGGGGTCTTCTTCCTAGCTGGGGATGAGGATCCCTGAGGTTGGGGGGTCATCCTGGCTTAATGAGGACTGGCTCTCTGACCACAGGGAAGACTTCAGTGTGGTTTCCCCAGGGGTAACATCAGGGAAGTGGGAGTATCTGCCTTAAAGTGAAGTGTGGTGCTTAAATGGAACAAGATATGTCAATTACTTAATGGTCTTATTTGGAACAAGCCATTGCCAGTTGAGATTTGAGTTTCTTGACGTTTTGAGGCAGGCCTCCAGACAACACCTCCAGGACAGCAGGGGCCTTCTCTGTCTTATCTGCTGTTCCACCTCCAGCACTTGGTGAGTGATTGTCACATAGTAGGTATTAAATAAGTGATTCTGACTGGCTGAGGCAGTGGTGCTTTCTCCTCTTGATTCCAGAGGAAGTGAGGCGTTTGGTGTTAAGTCAGAGGAGTCTGTCTGAACAGGGCATTCATGTCAAAGAGGAGTGTAACCTGGAGGATGCACCAGTGAGACCAGAAGAAGCAAGAAGACACTTAAAGTCTTTGTGTGGTGAGTGGACATGACCTTTGTGGACAAGCTGAGAGCAAGGCCATGGCAGGGAAAGCTGCTGGCTGGTGCTGCTGAGGTCGTGCATGTGCATGGGTGTCCTTCACGTGCGTCAGCGACTGCAGCGGCTGCTTGGGCCAAAGCAAGCGCTACTCATTCTCCCTTGTATGGCCTGCTTGTCACTGTTGATCCTCTTGCTTTGTTTGATTTTTATTTTGTGACTTATAAGATAACCTTTATAACCGTAGAAGTTCTACATTTGTTTAAGGAAATTTAGCAAATGTAGAAAAGTATAAAATGAGCAGGTAGAATAGTGCTAATTCTACCACCAGGATGGTAGACACAACCAGGATACAACAAGGATTGTAATATTTTGGTTATCCTATTATGGCAAATTCCTTTGTTTTTATTCTAAGAATTTTCTTTTTAAACATAAATGAAATTATTGAAATGTTAGGGTTAGGGTTAGGGTTACATACATAGATACATAATTTTGTATCCTGAGGTTAATATGTCCTCACATGCACTTTTCCTATTTCCTTAAAAACTTGCCATTAACTTCATTTGTAGTGACAACATAATTCCATTTGCTGGTAGTACTGTAATATGCTTAACCATTTGCTATATAGATGGGAATTAAGGAATCTTGGGAGTGTCTTCAGGTTTCTTTCACGTAAGCAGTGCTAAAGTGGACAGTTGAATAGATAATAAGATTTTTTTTTCTTTGTGGGAAATTATATAAGAAACTAGAGGCCTCCTCTTGCTTCCATTTTCCGAGTAATCATAATTAATCTGTTTTATTCATTCATTTACTCACTTACTACTAACTAACCTTGTTTATTTATTTTACTAACTTTTCCCTCTTTTACCTGTTTCACCCATCAACCCGCCCCCCTCCCCTAGGGCAACTACCAGTCTGTTCTCTGTGCTTATGAGTCTATTTCAGTTTTGTTTGTTTTGTTTTTTAGAATCCACATGTAAGGGAAACCATATGGTATTTGTCTTTCTCTGCCTGAGTTATTTCACTTAGCACAGTGCCCTGCAGGTCCATCTATGTTGTCACAAGTGGTAAGACTTCGTTCTTTTTATGGCTGAGTAAGATTCCATGTGTGTGTTTACCACATCTTTATCCATTCATCTGCCAATGGACATTTAGGTCATTCTCATATTTTGACTATTGTAAATAATGTTACAGGAAACATAACAATGCATATATCTTTTTGGATTAGTGATTTTGGTTTTTTTTTTCAGGTTAGCTCCAAGAATTTAATTGCTGGGTCATACAGTATTTCTATTTTTAGTTTTTTGAGAAATCTTCATACTGCTTTCCATAGTGGCTGTACCAATTTGAAATCCTACCAGCAGTGTGGGAGGGTCCCCTTTTCTCTACATCCTTGCTAACACTTGTTACTTGTCTTTTGGATGGTGGCCATTCTGACTGGTGTGAGGTGTTAATTTCATTGTGGTTTTGATTTGCATTTCCCTGATGATTAGCAATGTGGAGGATCTTCTCGTGTCCATTGGCCATCTGTATGTCCTCTTTAGAAAAATGTCTATTTAGCTCCTCTTCCCATTTTTTAATTAGATTGTTTTTTTGGTGTTGAATTGCATTTCTTTATGTATTTTGGATATTAGCTCCTTATCAGATACAACGTTTGCAAATCTGTTCTTTCATATAGTAGACTGCCTTTTCATTTTATCGACGGTTTCCTTTAATGTGCAGAAGCTTTTTAGTTTGCTGTAGTCCTGCTTGTTTATTTTTGTTTTTGTTTGGGAGATGTATCCAAAAAAAAAAAATTACTAGTGCTGATGTTTGAGAGTTTCATGCCTCTATTTTCCTCTAGCAGTTTTATGGTTTCAGTTCTTACATTTAGGTCTTTAATCTATTTGAGTTTTTGTGTATGGTGTAACCAACTTCCTGAATGTTTACCACATACCTGGCCTTCTGTCTTGGGACTGGCATAACAAAATGTGAAAGGGTCCTCATTTCTTAGTGAACTAGTATGGAACAAGAAGTTTGGAGTCATTTACTAATAAATATTATCAGGTTTTCATACAGGAAACCCTGAAACTTTTTCCAAGGACACCAAGGAATATGAAAAGCAACAAAAAGCAGAAGATCTTGGCTCAGTTCGGTAAGGATGGACCCATGATACTCTGGGGAGTAGGAATGGAGCCCCTTCTTGTATTAGCCGTGTATATTCCCACCAGGAGTCATGTAGATTGTTAGTAACTTCAGTTAAGGCAGGAGATAATGCAATCCAGGTGAAGTGAAAGGAACAGAAAGAATGCTTGTGTTTATAGGTACATCAGACACCAGGCACTTTGCTTTTGCATGCATTAGTTTTTCTCATTTAATCCTTATAATGATCACTTTTTGAGGTGGTATTACTATCTCCATTTTCTCTACACAAGGTAACTGAGTGGTTAAGTGGTTTGCTGAAAGTTATGAGACTAGAATTCTTGAGAATCATGGGAGTGTTGGTAAAGCCACGATCCTAGTCCATACCTTTATATTACTGAGTCCCCAACTTTTCTTGCTGAGAGCGCAATTACTCTTGAGGCCTCCTGTAGCCTAAGAAGGGTTTGGAGAAGAAGCTTCCTTGGATTCTGTGGGGACTAGGGATAGAACTGGAGGACCAACTGGTGGTTTGGAGGAATGGGATGGGGAGAACCAAGAGAACGTGTAATTAAAAAGTCTTGATTTTTTAAAAAATGTTTTTTGCATTGAGCTTATAAATTAATTTGGGAAGAACTGACATTTTTATGTTGTGATGTTCTCCCATCCATGATCATGGTATATCTTTTCACCTAATTCAGCTCTCTCTGAATGATTTTTGTATTAATCTTTTTCTTTCTATAGATGTTGTATGTAATTCCTATAAATGAATTCCTTGACATTTCAGAGTTATAGGTCATTTATAAAGATTATATTACTTTCCATCATATATTCTAGTTGGTTAGAAATTGACAGTACAAGTGTGGTCTGCAGACCAACTGCACCAGCATTACTGGGAGTTTGTTAGAAATGTGGAATCTCAGACCCACCCCAGGCCTACTGAACCATAATCTGCATTTTCTTAAACAATAGTCTGAGGTGATTCATATGCATGTTAAAATCGGAGAAGCAGTGGGTTAGAGAAATGGAATGTCATTAAAAAAAATCTGCTCTCATTTAGGTCCAGTTAGATTCTTAGACATGGTCCCCGATTTCTCTCTCCTTCATTTTATTTTCCATGAATTTTCTAGATGGAGTATTTCAGGAAGACCAACTCTATTTTTGGACAAGACATCCATGATAGAGATGAAGGAATTACTTGAGAATTCATCTCTTACCAGCTTAACAAATGTATTAAAAAAGCAAAAATTTCAGAGTAAGTTATTAGAGATTTTGGAATTTTATAATTAGACTTGGAAGAAATAGAAAAATATGTCAAGTTCAGAATACTTCAATGAGAGTCTTTGATATCTGACCGAATGTCACTCAGAAAAAATAAAGCTACATATACTTTTAACTGATTGATTTTATTTCACCTCATCCATCCATCCTTGCCATGCCTACCGTTTGTCCATCCCTGCCATCAGTCCGTCCCCATCACCCATCCATCCATCCATCCACCATTCCAGCTATTCACTATCCATACATCTATCCGTGACACTTACCCACTCACCCATCTCCCCTCTCCCCTCCATCATGTCACCTACCCATCCATCCATCGCATCCCATCATTTACCCTGTCACATCCCTTTCACTCCACCGATATTTTTGTGCTCCTGATTCGTGGTGGTTGTTGGGGGAATAATATGGGGAACATGAAAATCTCTCATGTTAACTGGAGTCTTTCAAACAAATCATTACAATTCTGTGAGAAAGATGCTGTGGGAGGGGTAGGTATGTGGTGTGTTGGGGGGGCATAGGAGGTAGGTGGTATGGAAATACTTCCAATACTTCCGGGCTATGGTGGAACTAGGAAAACAGCATCCCAGGTTGAGGGGTGTTCCTGCAGAAGCATGTCATCTAGTGACAGACTGCCGAGATCTAGGGTCCTCAGAATCCCCTCAGTCTACTCCACCTAGATCTCTTCTCCAGTTTCCCAGCATGCTGTTGGGTTTCTGTGTGAGGTAAAAGTTCTAGGGCTGGGGCACTTGCCGCCTCTTGGGAGGGCCCACTTCTCATTTGTTCAGCTGTGACTGCTACAAATCGTTTCCTTAACTCGCAAAGAGCTGGCTTTTCCTGGTTCTAGCTCAGCACTCTGAAGCTTCAGAGAGAACAGAATGGCTGAGCCAGGCTCTCTGCTGTGTGTTGGAGACTCAGTCGAATAAAACTCATTCCCATTTTTAAGGCCTTAAAAGACTAGTCCACATTTCATATCTGAACACCTTCAACTTCCTGAGCTTTGTCCAGATTAAACATCCCCATTCGTTTGTTTTTGAGCATTTTATTTTTTTCCAAGCCAAACTGTGTCCAGCTTTATTAAAGATACTTTTCATAAACAATCATAGTATTTCAGGCAGGACATGGGCAGACAATCGTTTACAGTATACAATAACTTCTGAACTCCCTTTTCAATGGACTACCCAAATCAGGAAGCCACTATAAAACCCAATGAAGTCTTCATTTGATGCTCTCCATACGGAAAGTTTAGAGTGAGGGTTGACATTTCACCTTTAGCATGTTGTTTAACAACTTTTCACAAGCCGACCCTGACTTTCAGGAAATGAAACGAAAATGGCAGAATTATCAGTCTGAAGATTCACGATCTAAAGGAACCGCTGCTCTTTTGAGGGATGCCATCTCAATGGTGGCACCAGAAAGTCCAGATTGCCTGACCTACTAGTAACCAAATTTTGGGATCAGGTCCCTGGATTTAAGGGAGTCAAGTCTATGTTGAAGGCAGAGGGGGAGGAGAGGACCTAAAAACGAATTTTAGTTTGTCCATACCACAGGGCATTTGTGCCAGGTGACTAATGTGTGTCAATATCGAGAAATCCCTCCTCATGGGAGCCAAGAGGAAGTCTCTCAAAACTAGAAAGGAAAGGTGTGTTTCCCCTCACATCAATCCAGGTTTGGAGACATTCTGTTGGCGGCATATGCCCTTCCCCAAAAAACAGCAATGAAGTGTGCTGTGTGCTAACAACATAGCTTAAAAAAAAGTAAAACAAAATTCGGCATTTTTATAAAACTTGATAAAAAATAGTATTTCAAACTGTACAGTCACCAGAAGTACAGAGTTATCAAAAATGCACACACTTCACCTGGCATCTCCAGCACCTTCAGCCCTCTGTGCCTGGTCTGTTTTGGCATCCCCATTTTCTGCAGGGTTACTCCCTTCTTTGCAGGGGCCTTTTTAGGCTTGGGCTCTGGCTTCGGAGGAGCAGGGTTAGCAGATAACCGTGTGGCTCTGCTCTGAGATTCGTCCTTCACCTTTACCTCCCTTAACCTCCCCTCCAGCCTTTCTCTCAGGCATGGTGGCGACCGTGGTGGGACGTACACGCCAGACGCGTGGGTGCAGCGGCTTGCGGGCTTTGGTCCGTCCGAGGGCGTTCTCGTCTCTTCTTCTTTACACTGCACCGTTTTTAAGCATTTTAATAAGATTTTCAAACCATTATTTTATTTTGAAAAATAGAAAAGCACACAGAAAAATATAACAACAACATGCCCACGACTTAGGAGTTATTTTGCCCTATTTCCATTTTTCTAAAGAAAGAAGCACTTTCCCGTGCAGTGTGGGCCCCTTTGCATCCCGTGTCTCACGCTTCCAAGCAGCAAACCCTATCCCGACAGCCGCTGCTGTGCCCCCTCCCCGCCACCCACTTTTCCCCACAGTCATACAACATTGTAGTGATTTTTGTTTTTATGAGTTACGGAAATGATTTCAAACTGTACGTATCCTCCCATGACTTGCTCTTTGCATTCAACTTGATATCTGAGGTTTTGCTGGTGTCAGTGTGTGTAAGTGCAGCCCCTTCATTCTGACTTCTGCAGGGCGCCCCCTTAGGTGCATGTACCGTCCCTTGTTCAGGCAGCCCCACCAAGGGTCCTTTGTGGCGTCTCCAGTTTCCCGCTGTTGCCCCCCGCTGCGGTGGCTGGTGTCCTTCTGCTGGTTTCCATGTGACACGCGGGAGAGGCTGGGCATTCGCCTGGCAGGGTCATGGGACGTAGAGCCATTACCCTCAGGTGCTGCCAGCCTCCCCTTCCCCCACCCTCCGGGTTGCGTCGTTTGCCCTCCTGGCAGCAGTCCCGAGAGCCCCTGCTTCTCCACGTCACCACCCGTGCTTGGCAGTTGGGGGCTTAATTCCTGATTCCTAGTGGGTTTGAGGGCATCTCCACCTCTTTAGTCACACTTGCATGTGATTAGTCTATTCCTGTTTTTTTATTTTTCTGTTGGGTTTAAACGATTTTTCTTCTTGATCCATACATAAGCTTTCGTGGATAACTGTGCGTTCGTTGTTGGTTACATTTATTGTAGACGTCACAGACTGGGGTCTGTAACTCAGCTTTTTACTTTTTAGCATCTTGTTTTGCACATCAGTTATTAACCACTCCTTTCCAGTTTGTACTTTTGGGTAATGTTTAAGCCTCCTTCATCCAGATGTCAGTATTATCTCCTATGTATTCTCCTAATGATTTTGAAGTTTTTGTTTTCTACCTTTAGTCTGAAGTTTATTTTGCATAAGGCATCAGATGCCTGAAAGTTTCATTTGTCTCCAGATGAATAATGTAATAACTGACTAGTCCATCCCTTCCCACTGATTTCAAATGCCACCTCTGGCATCTATTAAGTTCCCCCAAGCACGCGGATCTATCTCTGGGCTTTCTAGTCTGTTCCATTGGTCTTTATGTCATGGACCAATAGCTCATGGTTTTAATTGTCACAGATTTGTATGTCTTGTCACCTCCCTTTTCTTGATCTGAGCTTGTCGCCGAGCTCAGCGTTCTCTGTATCTTTGCTCATTTATCTTCTAACACACACCCTACAAGGCAGGTGTTGTTGCCCCATTCAACAGATGAGGTAGTCGAGGCTCAGAGTGGTTAAGACACGTTCCCAGTATTATACTTTTGGAAGGATGGAGCCGGTGCTGGAACTTTGCTGGTTCAGCTCCAAAGCCAAACCTCACCCTACAGTGTGGTTAAGAGCTGACCTGGAGAAGAACTTTGATATGTTGTGGGGCTGTCGTCACCATGGCAACCTCAGCCCCCTTGTGCCCACCTTCACAGTAGCAGTGGGGGAATCAAGACACCCCATGCTCTCTACCTGCTTATAGCTGACTGGTCTGCCATCTACATGTAGACACCTCTTCTTGCTGCTGGGAAGGGGCAGCACAAAGACCCTCTGCCTCCAGGATCTCCCAGAACCTTCCGCATGTACACACCCGCAGACTGCGGCCTGGATGTGAGATCCTCATCACATTTTGTCCTTCCTTTGATTTCACAGTCAAATGGAAGGAATCAGAGGGGAAAAGGAAAAGCCAGAAGAGAGTGAAGATGTCTGGAGCAGAAGAGGAAGCTGACCCCAAGCTGGCAGGCCCCTTGAAGCAGGGCGCCTTCTGCATCCAGCTTGCGGTGATGCCGCTCCTTGCAGGTACTGTGCCTCTTCCCACGCCTCCTGGGTGTCCTGTCCCAGGTGGCAGGACGTCCATAAGCAAGATGCTCACGGAGACCAAGCCACCTAACTCTCCGCCACCTAACTTCATGCTCACAGCCATCACAGCCAAGTGGGGCAAGTGTCTTTATTATACAGAGGCGGCACAGAGAGGTTAGACACACTGTCTAAGATCACACAGTGAGAAGGCGTGAAGTCAGTATTTGAACCCAGGTCTGACTCCAAAATCCAAGGTAATCTTTGAGAATAATACACGTCACTTTTTTTTTTTTGCTAAATAAGATGCTGTTTTTTATAGACACATTCTTACAAACTTTTACAACATTTAGTAAAGGAAACGAGGAAAAGAAACCAGTATTTACGTACCATCATTTACTTCTCGTGGCAAACCGTGATCCTCCTGTGGAGTGCTTCTCATTGTCTCTAATGAACCTGTGGAGTGCTTGTCATTGTCACCCATTTTTTTTTCAATGAGAAATCAAAACTCAGAGAAGCCAAGTAATTTACCTGAGGTTATACAGCTCAGCAGCATGATTCTTCTGTGTTGTGAGGTCTGTTAGAATTTGCAAACTAGGTTTCCTACCATTTCAAAAATAATAAATAGGTGTATCTATAGGTTTTGATAATGAAAAGCTCAGAACATAATTTGGGTAAAATTATGTGACTTCATTTTTTTTAGTGTAATATATGGGGGAAACCCTCTTTTTCTTTCTTTTCCTTTTTTTAGAGGGAATAATTTCAAACCCGTCTCCTGGTTTCTTTGGCTATTAGGGTGCCCATATGCCCTCTACTGGCCAGTCTGCAGCAATTCAGGCTTGTTTTTTTTCTGAGCTGGAACCTGACTTCGCATGTGTGTAGGATAAAACCCCAGAAAGTCAGTCAATATTGAGTTCCACCGGGGCCCAGAAAAATCATAATCTCTCACGAGCTCTTGGGCTGATGTCAATATGTTTTGAGGAAATATACTATTAACTTTTTAGTTTGCATTTTTAAATGGATTTTTGAAAATAAGCTTCCACCTAAAGCTAGACCTTTAGCTTTCCTGCTAAGATCGGAATCTTTTCTGGAGAAGTGAATTTGCAGGGACTCTTACCTGCTCTTATGCTGTGCTCCAGGATGACCAGGCCTCCCACACAGCGGTTGCCTGCTCCTGCTTGGAGCAAATGTCTTGGGTGATAGGTCCTTGAATCCCAAAGAGAAATTAGTGTTCCTCTAGGTGGGTGAGCTTTGGTGACCTGACTTTATGTCTTAATTTTGATGTGCGGGGAAGGAGAAGCTCAGATGGTCTTGGCCTGCCTGGTGTGACCTTTTCCAGCAGGGTGATGATGCCAAGTGGTGCCCGGGCCTCCCCTCTTTTAACCTGTACTGTCATAGCCCCGCAATGGGACAGTTACTGCAAGGGCTCCCATTCCAAGCAGAGTTCGTATCCCGGCTCAGCCACTTACCAGCAAGTTGCCTGCTTCCTCTGAGTCTCAGTTTCCTCTTTTATAAAATGAGGGTGAGAATGCCCACCCCAGGGGGCCATAGTAAGGATCCCATGAGGTGATATATGTAAATGGTTTCACATGGACTCAGGTTGCTGGTGTGGAGGTGGCAGTGGCTTCTGTCTCCTCTGGGCGGGCTGCATGCAGGGCGCTGGGCCTCTGGCATGGGAAACAGAAAGATCAGCCTCCTCTCCTACACTGATGTCACGGTCATGATCATGGCTGAGAATGGCCTCTCTGCAGGCCAACTGTATGCTTGGTTTGGCCATAACAACGCAGCTTGAGATCAACTGTTCCCAAACCAGCATGGTTATTTTTGGCAATTGTCTTCAATCTCAAGTTAGGCCATAGACTTGTGTCCTTAGTGGTAAATAGTGGTAGGCTGGTGACCCAGTAAGATTCTAGAAAGAGTCTGTGTTTGGGACGAGCTCTCACTTTCACTGCACAGTGGAGGGGTCATACTTAGCCTGGTAGGATGGCTTAGGCCCTGATTCTACCCATCTGTTATTAGCCAAGAGACCGTGGATGATTACCTAACATTTCTGGGCCTCAGTTTCCCCAGTTGTTGAGCAGAGATGAAAGCATCCCGTAGGGTGGTTGTGAGGGTTAAAGGGCATCACCACATGTCCCCCTCTGGCAGCTGTAGGTGCACAGACCACATGTGCCCCACCCCGCCCGGCCTCTGCAACATTGGTTCTCAGCTTGGGCATTTGTGGCCCCCCGGGGGCACCTGGCAGTGTGTGGAGGCATTTTTGGTTGTTACAGGTGGGCACAGGGTGCTTTAGGCAACGAATGGGATGCTGCTAAATGTTCTACAATGCACAGGACGGTCCCCACAGCAAAGCATTTGCTGTCCTCAAATGTCTGTGGCACTGAAGTTGAGAAACCCTGCCTTGGAATTAGGGCTGGAAGATGATTGCCAAAAGTCATGCCTACATTTCTGAATGACTTGAGGACATGTCGGCACTGGAGATTTCTTCTAAACTGGGCAACCTTTCATATGAAAAGGCTTGCAACCTTGGCAAACACAAATCATAATTAGTCATGGCCTGAAGGAGCTGGCTTCATTGTAGAGAATCAGGGGGCAGTGAGGGCTGCCCGCAGGAGGTGCTCACAGCCCTGCAGACAGCTGTACATGAATTGTTCTAGAAGTGACTTCTCTGAGCATAGTGAGAATGGCTTTAATATGCTCTAGAAATATATTTACAGGCATTTTGAAGGGAATGGAACTGATCTGCTTGAGCACCTACTATGTGCTGGGCAGGGTTCCCAGCACCTTCATATAGATAATCCCTCCTGATCCTCTTAATGCCTGGGAAGTAGGTCACATGACCACTATGAGTCAGAGCTAGGATTTGACCTGAGGCCTCTCTGGCAAAACTGGAGTTTTTTGCTTTTTTTCCCCTACACCAGTATGACTCCACCTGGTGAAGTGCATGGGACCTTTCACAGGAAGAGTATTCCACACAGCTAACTATATGCCACGCAGTGGCTCGAGTCATCCAACCCTTTCCCTAGTCACTCTATTACAAAAACGTGATGTGGGAGGTGTGTTATGCTGGCCTCGGCTCAGATGCACTGGTTATGCTCATATCAATGTCTATGTTTTTCTCATTAGACCACCACCGTTAAAGCGATACCACTGGCCACCAAGTGTAGACCCTGGCGTTAGCTGTTCTTGAACGGGTTCTGTTCTAAAATACTTGCCCAGAGCAACGCTCCCCAGGAGAGCTTCCTGCAGTGCTGGAAATGCTCTGTATCCGCCATGTCTAGTCCTGTGGCTCCTAGCCACATGTGGTGACCGAGCATCTGAAGTGTGACTTACGATGAAGGAACTGCGTTTTCAATTGTACTCAATTTTCACTAAATTTAAGTAGCCACTGGTGGTCCTAGCTACTGTACTGCACAACACAAGCCTCGGGTGGGGTTCTGAGTCACTGGGGCAGCTTTATAACACCCAGGGAGGAGGCTATACCCCCGACCAAGTAAGTCAGACTGTTTGGGGGCAGTACCCGAGCATCAGCATCCCTTACTGTATCCTGTAGATGGTTCCGGAAATGCCTGCATTCCAAGAGAACATCCAGATTAAATCACAAAAAATAAATTCCCTTGGAGAACTCCCGGGGCCCCAGTTTGAGAAACTGGCCTCTAACATACTATCCATAGGCGTCTCCCAAATTTTTCAAAAACTTTTCTTCCTTTAGCTGTGATTTTATCTTTGGGTACCCCCAGGCTGCCCGACCCTCTGCTTCTCCTGGGCCGCTCAGGAGTCTAAGACTGTCTCCCCCAACCCCCCGCAGGACGGCGAACGGTGGTGAGTCGTGCCAGCGAGAAGTCTGCCAACATTTCAGACTGCTTTTTAACCTTTAAAACAGAAGTTCCTATCATGACGGAGGAGCAAAAGCGGGACTTAAACCCCCTGACTATAAAGATCAAGTGCGTGTCCTGCCTGCCGTCACAGCCTGTGCCCGTCCATGAGCTGGAGGTGAGAATGGGCCAGACAGACTCATTCCGGACCTCTGCTTCCCCACGGATTGTCCATGTGTGTTATCGCTAATCCCCCCAGGGACCCTAAGTGAGCTGTATAACCGACCTCCCCATTTCACCATTTAGGATCTCCCAGCAAGACGTGAAAGAGACGAGGCTTCTGGGTTTGGGAGCTACCAAGTGCTGAGGTCTGCTCACTACACCACAGGTGTTTTTCAGAGGGAGGTGGTGCTCGTCCCTTCAGAAGGAGCCTCTCCCTTGTCACAGCAGCAGAGCTTACCCAGATGCTCCCTCGTTTGAACCAGCCAGGTTTAGCACAGCTGTCTATCCTGGGAGCTCCCTTTTTCCTCTCCTAGTGGGGTCCCTGTCTCCTGGATTCTACAACTTCCTCTTCTTTTGGCCCCCTGGTTTTGCTGGAGCACATCTTCCTACAGCTTCTTGAGAAACAGTGGGAGATACTTATGAAATCTCATATGTCTGGAAATATCTTTATTCTACCCTGTGCATAATTGATAATTTGACTGGATGGAGTTCCAAGTTAAAAATATAGAGTTTTGAAAGCATTATTCCATTATCTTTTTATGTTTATATTGAACTTTGTATGTGCTTGGTAGTTTTAATTTGTTTCAAAGCTTATAGGATCTTCTTAAACTATTTAATTATGTATCTTTGTGTGGGTACATTCATATATTATATTTTTATGTAGATTTGTAGGACATTGCAAAGGTGCTACAGAGAGACCTCATGTATGTTTCACCCAGTTTCCTGCAGTGGTCATATCTTATATAACTATAGCATAATATCAAAATCAGGATATTGATACTGGCCAACATGTATATATAGTTCTATGCCATTTCATCCATGCGTAGATTTATATAACTTAAGTGTAACTTCACTTAAGACACAGAACTATTCCATCACTACAAAGCTCTCTCATGCTACTCCTTTATAGTCACAACCACCTCCAACCTCCCACCATTCCGGACCACTAATTTTTTTCCATCTCTATAATTTTATTAATTTGAGAATGTTTTTGTTATGAGTCATGTTCCCTCAAAAGGTATGTTGAACTTCTAACCACCAGTACCTCAGTATGTTACCTTATTTGGAGACAGGGTCTTTACAGAGGTAATCAAGTTAAAATGAGGTCATTAAGATGGGCACTAATCCAATATGACTGATGTCCTTACAAAATAGGGACATTTGGACTAAGGACAGGCATATACAGGGGGAAGACTATGTGAAGACATATAGGAAGAATGCCACGTGAAAAGTGGAATTAAGCTGTCACAAACCAAGAAATGTCTGGGGCTACCAGAAGCTGGAACAGGCGAGAAAGGATCCTTTTTTAAGCATCTTCATGGGGTGCATGGCCCTGTTGACATCTTGATTTTGCACTTCTACTTCCAGAACTATGAGATGATAAATTTCTATTCTAAGCCACCCAGTTTCTGGTACTTTACTATGGCAGCCCTGGAAAATGAATACAGTTATAGAAATGGAAACATCCAGTATGTGACCTTTTGAGATAGGCTTTCCCCCTCCCTTCAGCATAATGCCTTTGCATTTTGTTGCCATTTTTTTATTCACTAGGTCTTTTAATTTGGTTTATTTAGGCCATTTACATTTAGTGTAATTATTGATATGTTAGAGGTTAAGTATGCCATTTCAATACTTTTTTTCTATCCTGTTTTTTGTTTTCTTTTATCTGCCTTCCTGTGGGTTGCTGGAACATTTTAGAATTCTATTTTTATTTATCTGTGCTATTTTTGAATGTATCTCTTTGTAGATTTTTAGTGGTTACTTAAGCAATTACATTATGCATACATAACTCATCACAGTCTACTGGTAAACATTTTATCAGTTTGAGTGAAGTGTGGAAGCTTCATTTTCCTTTTAAATTCTTTTACCCTCTCATTTATAATATAATTGTCTTAAATATTTCCTCTACATAGATTGAGAACCATATCAGATGATGGTACGCTTTTTGCTTCAATTGTTTAGAAAACTCAGGAGGAGGATATTGTATTTACCCATAGCTTTGATCTTTCCATTGTTCTTCCTTCCTTCCTGATGTTTCCAGATATATTTTTTAATCACTTCCTTTCTGTTTCAAGAAGTTCCTGTAGTCATTCTATTAGGGTAGATATGCAGAAGACAAATTCTCTTAGTTTTTCTTTGTCTGACGATGTCTATTTCTCCTTCATTCCTCAAGAATGGCTTCACTTGATTTAGAATTTGGGGTTGACAATTCTTTTTCTCCTTTTTTTCTTCAGCACTTGAAAAATGTTGTGCCTCTTCCTTTTGGCCTCTGTTTTTTCCACGGTCATTTGAATTGGTTTTTCCCTATAGACCAGGTGGCATTTTTCTTGCAGCTTTCAAGATTTTTTTCTTTGTCTATGGTTTTCAGAAATTTGACTATGATGTGTCTTGGTGTGGATTTCTTTGGATTTATCCTGTTGGGTTCACTTAGCTTTTTGAATCCACAGCCCTATGTCTTTGGGTAAATTTAGGGAACTTGCAGCCATCGTGTCTTTGAATACCTTTCTGAACCATCCTATTTCTTCTCTCCTCCTGGGACTTGAAGGACATGACTGTTAGTTTTCCATTATACTCCAACAGGTCTCTGAAGCTCTGTTCATTTTTTTTAAAATATTTTTTTAATTCAATTTTTAATCATTAATCTACAATTATATGAAGACCATTATGTTTATTAGGCTCCCCCCTTCACCAAGTACCTCCCCCAAACCCCATTACAGTCACTGTCCATCAGCGTAGTAAGATGCTGTAGAATCACTACTTGTCTTCTCTGTGTTGCACATCCCTCCCTATACCCCCTCCCCACATTACACATACTACTTGTAAGGCCCCCTTTTCTTTTC